TTAATATGTCAAAATGTTTTTTTGTTTCTAACCTGTCCATTTTTTTGCCAAGAGCATTTTTATTACACATAAATTCTACAGCTGCCTGGAAATAGTAATTTCACGATGGCAAATGACAGATCCCTGACTGCAACTGTGCTAGCAGGGACTGCAATCACTGTTAGCATTTTCCATTATTTCATTACATCAGTTGGTCACAATTTCCCTCAACTTTATTTATGTAAATTGATCGGCCCTGGAATTTGAGTTATCACCAGAATGATGCACTTCTCTGGCTTCCTATTTCTACAGGGAAAGGATTAATAAAAGCAAATTTTCAGTAACTGGATCAGAGAATATTGCATAGAATTCCATAGTGTTCATTAACCTCCTCTTTACACCATTCCCATAGGAAAAGGTTACATAAAAATAATGCAAAGATCTCTAATTAATGAGAAAGGCACAAATTTTAGTTTTTTCTTTTAACTGTAAGATAGATGCTTCTTATTACAGAGATGAGTTTATTATTAAAGGACCCACTAATTCACGACATGGGCAGACTACACTGATAGAGATTCCCTTCAAGAGTGGCATTTATCTAAATTTTACAGGCGAATTAAATGAAACGGCCAAATTTTATGGCATCAGTTGCAATTAAAAACATTTCTGCCAGTGAGAATATGCAATTCTGCTGGCTGAAATCTGTATGCTCAAAAGTGGGAGTATAACAACAACCATATTTTACCTGCCCTCTGTCAAAGGATGCTCCTCATTTGCTTTCAGCTAAACAAGGTATTATGCTTTTTCTTTTCCCTAATCAATCAGAAAGAAAAATGACAATTTTAACTGCAGTACAGAGGTATTTATGTTAAAATAACCTAGCTCCTTCCTCCACCGCTTTAACAAGGGCAAGAACTGGGATCAGAAGGAAAAAAAAAAACGAAAGCTTTCAAAGAACCTCAAGAAAAAAGAGCGTTTTCAGAAAACCTGTAAAGCCAGAGTCTACCTGTGCTTTTATCTATCAGGAGAAAAGTCTTCAGCGAGTGCTCTATTTCCACGTCGTGTGCTCACAAAATGACTCCCTGAGAGATTAGCCCAGGCCATCACGAGAGCCCAACAGTCTTTCACCTTCTCCCTTTAATCAGTGACTGAAGAGGGTAAAAAGCCACAGTGTCACTCTTTGGAATTTCTCCTCCAACTTTTTTCTTTATGTTCTTTTAATCAAGGACAAAAGCCACTCTGATACCCCCTTTCCTGAAAGTGTGACTTTCAGGTGCCGCACTCGATTAGAAATGCAGCTAAGGGCTTTCAACCTCCCCGGAGTCATGGCTCAAAACCAGGAAGGTCTTGGCCAGGTTGGGAAGCTGCTGGGTAGCTCATCTCCAAACGGAGAATCGCAGCGGCGGGTTCAGCTAATCTGTTCTCCTTTCTCTCCTTTCCACGGAAAGCAGCTGCGAGCTTGGCTAAAGATCGGGAACAAATAGCTGGGAATATCCCTTAAAGGATCCGATCCAAGAGCATCCGTCTTTCCGTGCCCTTAGCTGCGGTGGAGACTAAGGATGGTCAGGGAGGCTCCCGGCTGGACGCCGGGGTCACCGCACGAGCGTCTTAGCCGCCTAATCCACACTCAGCGCAGATCATTAAACACCCAACAACAAAAAGAGCTAAGCCATTAATAAAGTGCCAAAAATATAGGAAACACTGACAGCATTTTATTTGATTAATTCCATAATAGAGATCAGTGACAACCCTTGGCAAGACAGATTGACTTACGAATGCTGCCCTCATCCAGCAAAATTACACGATTCAAATGTAATAATGGAGCTTAGAATTAACAGTTAGTGTTATAAAGGAAACATCTCCTCTAGGGAAAGCTACAGATATGCTTTTCAAAAAACTGTTATAGCATTAAAAGCCAGGCAGACGCTAAAGAATTCTAAAGAGCTAGTGGAAATCTGAAAAGCAACAACACCACCAAAAAAAAAAGAAAAAGAAAAAAAGATATAAGTTTCAAGGCACTTACGTATTGCTTATTAAGAAGAGAGATTGACCTTAAACGCTGCATTTGTGTTCATCCTGCGAATACAGTTCTGTTATGCAGCCAGAGCTCTCAGTAAGCATTATGGAATGCAATCATATAGACACAGGCACGAGAATAGTTTGGGGAGTATTAATTAAAATCAAAAAAAAGTCATAAACCAGAAGAAAACCGCTATCAAGAAAGAAAAATATAACCACTTTGTTGCATCAAGCACCTGGATCTCAAATTAGCACAAAAGGACAGCAGAAAGACCGGCAAATGCATTGCCTAGAATTAACAACAAAAACCCAACTTGAACCGAACAACAACGACAAAAGAGACCAAAAAGAGAATATAAGAACAAGTCTGGGTCTTCTAAGTCACAAATTCTGGTTCTTAGCTGAAGACACATCTTGCTATGACTTGTATTAAGGTACGCATACGTTGAACGGGACATGCATTTATAGGTGGACCGTGCTTCCCACGTCAAACCGGAACGCTGTACGGATGCAGGGAGGTTGCACTTGGATTCGCCGCCTTATTTTCCTTGCCAGCCATTCTCCCAGACTATCTCTATCCTAGAGAAGAAGAAGCTGTAACTGCTTCCAGCAAGTGCTCTCATCTACCGGGGTTTGTTAGGACAAATTGTCTCCTCAGCTCGTCACAGAAAGGGGCAGTTGCTCTCTCTGCTTCTCAGTTTTAGTTTTGCATCACAAGTCCCCAATTACCCAAGGAGTTATCCTGAAACAACTGACGGTAAATATAGGAAATCAGTCCCTGCCTTTCAGCCTCCTAGAGCCTTCTTTTCTTAATCATTGAAAGGATTGGTTTTAGTGTACTGAGTCTTAATTTGTGAAAACTTGCGCTAAGTGCTGCTGTTGCATGTTAAGAGACTGTAAATGAAATACATAAGTTCTAAAACATCATGCAAGAAATGTGGTTTCACATCTTACAGTCAAAAATCCTACTAATGAATTAATACAAGCACACTGAGGTGTAATATTGGGAACATACCTTTAAAGTCGGAACTCCTCTCCCCAACCCTCCCTCCCCCAAAATCAGAAAAGTAATATTAATTAAACTTAAGAAGTAATGAATGCACCATTAAAGTGTCATCAAAAAGATGCTGACCTAAGACAAAAGTTCAATGATACACAATACGGTCAAAAAGTCTTCAATCAATAATATACAGTATGACAACTACATCTTGTAAATTATACCCAATACTGCCGGCAGTCTATCCCTCTAAAGAATATTTGCCCCCTTTCATCCCTTCCTAACAATCAGATAATAAAATACAGCAAATATAAATAAGCAAAAAAA